GATACTAGATTAACCAACGAGAGGGATTACAAGAAGAAATCAATGGTTATGCGCGATAGATTACCTCCCAGAAGGCTCTGAATCGATAGTAATATTGTCCTCACATCATAAGCAGATGACCATTTATCCTGCAAACAAGAAAACGTAAAAAAATCTGGATTAAGTTTGCTACTTCTTTACTTTTTGTGTAGCACAAAGACACAAGTGGAAAATACATTATATTACCTGAAGAATGTCCAAGCAGATATTGCCATAGACATCAACATTCGGGTGAAAACAACATGTCTCGAACTTAACCTTTGGAGGTTTGAAAGGATAGTCATTAGAGAAGGAGAGCGAAAGTCTATACTCAGTTCCTTCAAACACAGTCTCTTTACTTCCTGTTATCGTCCCTTTCCAGCAAAAAATGTTGTCTTCCTCTGGAAAAGCCGATATTCCCGGATCACCTCCCATCTGAAACACGCCCCCCAAGTCAAATGCCATATGAGTATCTTCTTAACTACATTCACTATTTGCTTATTTACAACAACAACAAGAAGAAAGATGATAAACTTACCATCAATCCCATCAATTCAGATTGCAACCTGCATTTAAGTAAACAGAACAACAAAACTGGATTATAAATCTGGGATTTGTTATCAGTGAGATAAAAATCACAGCTTTAAAGGAAGGACGTAACAAGATCTGTATCAGTAAAACCAACATCTTAAGAGTTTAATTCTCACAGAGACATTCTAACAAACAGTTTGTATGCAAGTACATCTACCACACCCAACACGAATTGGATTCAGAGTAACAAACAAATTACTGACAATCCATACGAAACCATGAAAGGGATTCAAACTACAGTACAAGAATCGAACCCATAGATGATGAAGAAAGACGAAAGCGATTTCAATCTAATTGGCGAAAAAAGAAAACACCTTTTGAGAACAGATTGGCTATCGACAGTTTTAGTCGAAGGAACAGGTTGTTTTGATCCATTAGTCGCCGGAGGATCAGCCGGAGTATTTCCCTGATACCCATTTACGGCCGCCATTGCTTTCGCTTTCGAATCGTCAAAAACACAAAACGCAAATCGAATTCGTTTTCTCAAGGAATCGAACAGACTCAATTAGATTCCTTGATTTAAGAGTAAGATACAAATTCACGACTTAATCGA